AGTTTTACGATGCTGATTTATTCGAATTTGACTATGAGTAAAACTATTTGACTTGTTTATGTGCAGACACTTTATTTAAAATATATTGAATAAAACTTTAATGAATACGTGATTAAACGGCACATGTCTTTTTCGTTTGGATATTTGAAACATCCTCTATAAATCACAAACAGATAGGATTAGTAATTATTAGTAAATAAAATATTCTTTTATTATAAACCATTGAATAAGAAAAGCTTTCGATAAAAAAAATGAACTCAATCAAGTCTAATGTAAATAATAAAAAGAAAAATATTCAAATAACAATTCCATTATAATGCATTTTATAAAAATGACATATTATTTAATATAACTAAATCGATTAGTTTTATATTTTTATCTTTTCAGACATTGAAAAATAAAATTCACAATTTGATTTTGAAATAATGGAATACACAATGTCCTGCTGTACAAAACAATGGGTTTTATTTTTGAAAACAAAAAATGTATTATTAGTACAAAATTTAAATAATTAATAGACATTAAAACATTATATTCTCGTTATAAATTTCTGAATCTTTTGATATGTAGTTCAGCGTTATTAAAATTTTATTGGCGAAAATATATTTTTAATTAAGAAAAATGAAAATCTTATCTTTAAATTTTTTTTTTGTGAACATGAGACGAGTGCATGGATACGAGTACGAATATAATCTAAACACGAAGAACGTTCCAGCTTAAAAGCAAACAGTCGTGCAGATAATTTGTCGACAAAAATATTCTTCATCACCATTGATGCGCATTCTTACTCTCACTCGTACTTCCTTAATTTTATCTTTCCGGATTTCCTGCCTTTCACTATTAGGTACTTCGATATGCAGTCATGTCAAGCTTAAAGGCTGAATTTAATTATTGAAAAATATTCGAGTAAGAGAGATTCTATGTATGTTTCCGTGTATATTTGGATTTCAACTATGAAATATTCAATAATCGAATTAACTTTTCAGATTTGACATATATGTAGAAGTGTTGGCTTAGTACTAGTGTGAGAGAAACATGGACAGTTTTATATGAGGGTTTTTAAAAAAAAGCATAATAGTTTGGTTTTAATATTGTGTTAACGATAATTTAGTACTTACGTCTAGTAAGAATTATGTAAGATTTTTATAGATGCATTGATTCAGTTAGCACATTAATATCTAATCCGTCGAATGAAGTCTACATTGCAAAGCGTTTCAATTCTTATCGGATCAAAATGAGTTTATATACTTAATACTCATACGAGTATATATAAATATAAATTCATTTTGAGCCCATAGAGATAGAAATACTTTTTGCAATAGAGACAATACAGAGATGATTCGACTAGTTAGAAATAAATATTGTAACTTAGTTGATATATCTATAAAAATCTTATAAGATTATTAATAGATAAATGTTAGCATAAGGTTAGTGTTAACTCAATATTAATGTCAAACTATTGAATTATTTTTATTTAACACTAAATCTTTTTATATTAAATAGAAACTATACAAGAAGTAAAAATATCTAAAAGATTAAAGATTTGCACATGTTAGAATAGAAAAAACATTATTAATTGTGCAAACATTGACATGAAAGATAGACGGACTATATTTTATTTCCTTGTGGATCTATAACAAATGGTGTTTGTTTGTTTTTTCTTTCTTCATTGTATTATATTCGTTCATCAAGAAAAAAAAAATTATTTTTAATAGTCAAGTCGGATTATACAGAATAAGATTTCGTTTCAGACTATTCTTTTTTTTTTTCATTTATAATATTATTTATGACTTTCCTTTTTGAATTTTAATATAATCATATTCTTATAAATTTTCATATGATCTTATTCCTTTTTTTTGATGTACGATACAATAATTTTTCATATTCTATCGATTTATGAGAAGAAAAAAATCTAAAACATATTGATTATATACAAAAAGGTAAAGATCAATAAATACATGACATATTTATTTCTGTCTTGACAATGATGACAAGAAAAAAATTAAGTTTATTTAATTTATTTCAATATTTATGACAATTTTTGTTTCTGTTAAATATAGAACATCTAAGGATAAAATTAAACTTGTAAATTAATTGATAATTGATTGTAAAAATCTTCATTCATCATTTCGTTTACTAAAGATAAGTTCTCCATTTTTACCAATAATTGGCTTAAGGCTAGCTTTTTTATAGAGAATATGTGGATGATAACGTAATGAAGCTCGTTGAAATTGTTGATGATATAAGTGATTTTGTTGACTAGGTAATAATTCACGAAGATCATCACCAAAAATGAAATCAATCAATTCATTGTCATCGTCATTGATGAGTGTTGCTTGATATTGACAACAAAAAAGTACTAGTTATGAGAGACAAAAAAAAAAAGAAACAACAAAAATAAATAAATGATGTAATTTTTCATTAGAAAATCATACGTGTCATTATAATAATACATTTGAGTATATTCAATATTGAAACCATTGTTATTTTTCTTTGAAATTTTATTGAAGATAGACGGTTGGATATATCTAAAATGAAATAACCTTTTTGACTTTTAGTCGTTGTTAGAATGATGAATATACGAGCATATTCATCAAGTAAAAAGAAAGGAAAAACTAACAAATGAAGATAGTCATTTGAACGGAAGAGGCAAAAAGAAATACCCAACTGAAGCACTGACTGATTATAATGATCGGATTGATAATGTTTTGGTTTCTCCTGCCTTCTTCTTCCGTTTTTCTAATAACAAGATAAAATGAATATTGTAAAATTTATTTACGTGGAAAATTTTAAAACTAAATTATTACATCAAACAATAACGTCTATTCTAAAATAGACTAAGTGTAAAGATTATCATTATTTTTTAGATTCAAAATTAATGTAATCAAGTAAAATATAGAAAAACAAACAACTATAGTTATTTCTTTTCTTTATTATAGACTTCAAAGATATATACTATTCATGGAAGAAGAAAAATATTTGAAAACAAAAACTAAACGTCGACATTGTAATTTAACATTGAATATTCATATAATTATCTTATTCATATCTAATGAGAATTTCGAATGAGACAAAAATAAAATATTTTATAGAGCTATTTCTTATATTATTTTGGTGTTTCTTATAAATTTTCATCATTACTAATGTATAATTTAAAGAAAAAATCTTTTTCATAAGGCTATACTTAGGTATTTACAATGAATGAAATATTTACCTGCGAGCTGATGAATTTTAATGTAAAAATTATTTTAAATTTTTTTGTATTGAAAAATTGTTTTTAAAATGAATGTTATAAAATGTATAGTCTAATAAAATATCTTTATCCTTGTTTTGTTTTTCATAGTGAACTTATTTAAAAAAAGATTAATATATTTGTATTCTCTTAGGGAATGGTTGAAAGCATTAATAAAAAGAAAAGAAAACCTAGGCTGACTTTCTTTTCTAACTGATTTAATATTCAAGAAAACAAGTAGAACAGATTGTACTCCATATTCAGATTAAATAGAAAATCGTAAAATATTATTCTACTTGAAGTAATCATTTGCATGCACATCGTTGGTAATCTTCTCATTATTTCAAATGAAGAATTGTTTTTGATTTTATAAAGAGATTTATCAAATCATTAACCATTCAGATATAGTTTAGCTTTAAATGGTTTCTATTCTATAAAGTTTCGATTTAATGAATATTACCCTTCCTTCCCGACAACAGTTCATTAGAAAATTTTGAATTTTCCAGCATAGATAGATCTTGATGGATAGAGAGCAAAGATTGTCATATATTCAAAATTCTCAAATGCTTTCTTCTACGAGATGTTTTGGAAGCAAAGGCTAAAAATCGCCCTTTCTCTCTCTTCCCACAATACATCTGTCAGAGTTGACATTTGTTTTGGTTTATTTTTAACTCTTTCTATTTGTATAAAAAGTAATGTTCTGTAAGAACGATTTTTTCCCGTGTCGTTCCTTGCGAGAATTGAGAATAGAAACGATATTATTAATAAACGTTCTTCAAAATCGTTTTACTTTGTTTTTATACGCACTAAGATAATATCTTTTTATAATTAATAAGTATTTTTATATACAATAAAATATGCAAAAGTCTTCGAAAAAAAATAATGTCAAGACTCATTTCTCAAAAGCTGAATATTGACTTCATTTGAATTGTTTTTGTTTAAAAGAGCAAAGTTTGAAGAACGAAACAGATTAACATAGTTAAAAATTTTTACTTTTGATTTATTATGATGAAAGTCGAATATAGAACAATGCTCAAAATATCTTTGTAATGTAGGTCTTGAATATTTTTACTTGTTGATTTCGCTTGTCTTAAACTTATCCATGAATAGGACTTTTCAATTCGTATCATTCTATTTAGTTTTTTTTCATTTTAGTTACACTATCAATAAGAAAATTCTCATTTATAATGTTCTCTCCGTTGGAATATCAGTTTGATAAAAGTTGTGAAATAGAAAAAAAAAGCTAGAGAGTCCATCAGAGTTCTAAAAGTTTTTCTTTTTGAAATTTATGCCTTATATACAGTGCTTTTAGCTCTATCTGAGGAATTCATTCTGGCCATCACACCAAAGTATTGAAGTAACACCAACTGGCAAATAAATGTTTTCAGATATTGTAACGGATTTTTTAAAATTAGTAGGAAGGACGTTCTCGTATAGAATAAATTAACTAAATAAAATTTTTTTTGTTTACCTCCTGACACCAATCCAATAGAATTGGTGTTGAGTCGACTATGAGAATAGCTTATATAAGTGCTCAATGTGACATTGGTACGATTAAATTTAAGTGATGTCATCGTACTGTGAAGATGCAGAAGGGGGTCAAAAATGACCCATTCGTCGTAAATGGCATAAAAATTGAACCTTTTATTAATCTAATTTTTTTATGGTTTGTCGCAATTGTGTGTTTATTTATCTGTATAAAGCTGGAAACTTCTCTATTAGGGATTATTTTTTGAAAAATGAATAATTTTGGGCACGTCATATGGTTAGATATCGGCAAAAGCAGCTG